GTTCTTTCTAGTTATTGTCCGTAACTTCAGCTATTTTCAGATTGATCGCGTGACATAACTCTGGGGAGTCAAAAGTGAAACTGGATTAATTAAAAACGGGTCTGTGTTGAGTGTTCTCTGACAACATTTTCAAATTTAGATTGATTGTGTTGAGGTTACGCAAGATATTAAATAATTGTCTGCCCGGAAATCAAACAATTTGCAATGTTCAGCTTTATCAAGGGGCAGTTATTATAAGACAAGGAATAATCTGACAAATTCGCAAACCGTGTGTTTAGTTGTCTTTAACAACATTTTCAAATGATTTGATGGATGCATCGGAAGTAGCATTGTTTGCTATTTTCTTCTTTTTCCAGGGGCACAGGTAAATGTTCCCGTCGTCTCTTGTGGGGCATAATAATAGATCACGAACAGACTTATGGTAGTCGCACTTAAACGTACTCAAGTAATATATGTAATAATGACATACTTGGTATGTTTCCAAATTATCAATTAAACTAGAGGCTCTCAAGAGCCTGTGTCGCTCACCTGTTTTTACTGATGCTTTGGAAATCATGTAAAATAAGGTTAAAATCATAATTAATAGTATTAGATATTATAATGATATCTAAGATAATAACAAAAAACTGCAAAATTTTTGTAAAATTACTAACTCAGGGGCAGCAACCCAACAACGGGTTGTCGGATTCGTCTGAAAATTTCAGGGCAGATAAATCTAAATCTGATGAACATTTTTGCCACCTGTCAGATTTGCTCTAAATGCTTTAGTTTCAGAGATATAAACCAAAAACTGCATTTTACCCCTATGTTCTATTTTTAACCAAGTCGGCCATGATGGTTTGGAAGGCGGGGTCATCGGACAAATTTTTTAAACTAGATACCCTAATAGTGATTATGGCCAAGTATGGTTAAATTTGTCTCAGTAGTTTCAGAGAAGAAGATTTTTGTAAAAGATTACAAAAATTTACAAAAAATTGTTAAAAATTGACTATTAAGGGCAATAACTCCTAAAGGGGTCAACTGACAATTTTGGACATGACAACTTATTTGTAGATCTTACTTTGCTGAACATTATTGTTGTTTACAGTTTATCTCTATCTATAATAATATTCAAGATAATAACCAAAAACTGCAAAATTCCCTTAAAATTACCAATTCAGGGGCAGCAACCCAACAACAGGTCGTCAGATTTGTCTGAAAATTTCAGGGCAGATAGATCTTGACCTGATAATCAGTTTTACCCAATGTCAGATTACTCTAAATGCTTTGGTTTCAGAGATATAAGCCAAAATCTACATTTTACCCTATGTTCTATTTTTAGCCATGGCGGCCATCTTGGTTGTTAGGCGGGGTCATCGGACACTTTTTTTAAACTAGATACCCTAATGATGATTGTGGCCATGTTTGGTTAAATTTGGCCCAGTGGTTTCAGAGGAGAAGATTTTTGTAAAAAGCTAACGACGACGGACGACGGCTTCGGGCCAGGTGAGCTAAAAATGCTATCAAAAAGAAAATCATTGGTTTCCGAAAAAAAAAAAAACAACACCTGAGTATGTCTCACATTCAATGTATCTTTTAACACTGTAAGATGTTTTTATCTTCATTTTCTATCCAAACATGCAACCATCTTCATATTTTACCTAAGAATGCAAGTTTACGCGCGCTAGAACTTTTCCAATCAATTTCATGTTGTAGTGTTTGCCATACAGGTGGTCTCATTACGGTCCTTAGCTTAATATTCTAGTCAAATCTACCTTCTATTATATGATCTGGTAAATGTATGAATCCAAGATGTTTTGTGTCTTTCTCATTGATGATTTTCCCCTGGCCTTAATGGCATACGATACAGTCGCAAGGGCATATAACACATTTAAATTTAACGTGTTGTTTTCGCAACGTTGCTACTGACGACCATTCAAAATTCGCGGAAAATTCACTTACGTCATCAAATCGTTTACGTGAATTTGAAAGTATTTGTAAAGGCACTTGATGTATATTAAAGCACTCGAAATCTGCTACGGGGGCATACAATTCAAGGCAAATGAAGACTGAGTACTGTTCTTACATTAATAAATTAGTATACTCTATGGTCGGGTTGTTGTCTCTTTGGCACATTCCCCATTTCCATTCTCAATTTTATGACTGTTATTTGTATAGTGGTTTTGTTTACGGTGGGAATAGCTGCACGACGATGTTGCATTGCGACAGCGCAAAATAAAAAAAAATAAAAAATGGGATATCCAGCATTATAAGTATAGGTTTCAAATCTTGAAGCTAAAATATGAGCACATGAATCTCATTTATTCTATTAAAGAAAACGTCAACAATAATTTTTAGTCTGCATACATTTCTATTTTCAAATAAATGTCTACGGCTTTTAATTTCCAATAATTGAATTATTTCACAAATGTTTGATCACTTAATCATAAAGACCTTCTTACACATCTATATATATATGTAAGGAACACTTTACAAAAAACGGGTGAAAATTTCTATTTCGTTTCAAAGTTGTGTTATTTTTTTCGGAAAAGTAATCAAAAATGAAATTTTGAGTTTTTAACTTAATTAAATATCTCAAAAATTAAGTCACGGAGGTATATTTTTCTTTGCATATTTCGATTGTGCATATCAAAATTGACTTTAGAGTCAACATTTTAAGGAAACATCAACGAGGAATTTATTCTTTATCGTATGACCTTAACTGTTAAGATGAAGATAAAATATGTTTGTGTTTACATTAATCGTCAGGTAATAGGGTGCTCTGTTCACGGAGGGATCTTTGTCTTACATACATCCCGCTGCAAATGTTTGCACCTGTCCTAAGTCGGGAATCTGATGTACAGTAGTTGTCGTCTGTTTATGGTAGTTCATACGTGTTTCTCGTTTCTCGTTTTTATATAGATTAGACCGTTGGTTTTCCCGTTTGAATGGTTTTACACTAGTAATTTTTGGGGCCCTTTATATCTTGCTGGTCGGTGTGAGCCAATGCTCCGTGTTGAAGGCCGTACCTTGACCTGTAATGATTTACTTTTATAAATTGTTACTTGGATGGAGAGTTGTCTCATTGGTACTCATACCACATCTTCCTATATCTAATAACAAATTGTTTTCATCTTCTCCTTTCTTCCTTCATGTATACAAAACCATCAATATATGAAAGAATTAATCTTTTAAAAAAGTTGTTAAAAGTAGAGGTATGCTTCCATCACGTTTAATATTTTAAGAAAAAAAAACCGATGGTGATATTCTCTAACTGATTAAAATATAATGAATTTGACATAATGCTGATAGTATAATTGTTGGTCTTTTTTTTATTAACAAGTTAAATATTGCTCCCACGACAAAACTTTCACAAACATTTAAATTATCGCTCTATTGCAAGTGGTGACAGTATTGGGTGGTAGTGAGATTGACCTTCCTGTCTTAATGCATTCAGAAGACTACTTGATTGCTGTGTATTTGCATTATGTTGACGACCTGTATGCCTGTGAACACTAAAACTTGATGATCTTGGTCCAACTTCTATAGATTCCAAACTATCACTTAGTCGATTAATTCGATGTAAACCATTAGAACTGTGATAATATTTCCCTGCACAATGTAAATTGTCGATGTTTCCACTTTGAAGACTTGTTCTGCTTCCCTTAACGACGGACATTGATATTGGATCAAAAACGGTAAGCATTTCTTCGTTTATTGAATCGATTTCTTCAATATTCATTTCTATGTTATTTTCATTTTGTTTATTTAGTTCTGAAGGGTTGAGATCAGTTTTCAGAGGATAAATCATTATTAAGGCACTTGCTATCATCATAGATCCGGCAAGGATGAAGGAAGTATCATATGTTTTCTGGTGTTCATATAAAATACCTGCAACAATAAATTCATGAAAGATTGAAACAAAAACAAAAGTAATATGTTTTAAGCTTGCTTCTACTACTAGTTGCATTCTTCAATACGGTATTGTAAACACTTCGGAAAAAGCATATTTATGTGAGTGTTATTTTTATTTTACAGTGTTGTTTGAATATTTGTTTTTATTTCTGTATTTCTGCTATGTTAACTTCAAAGGTTGTCATTTTCTCTTCTACTATTAAAGTTCTTGTGTTCATGTATATGAAGAGTAGGCCTAAGCTTCTAAACTATTTAACGACGCGTCATTTATTCCTACATGGTTTATGCAAGTATATTTTTTGTAATGTGTGCTTCGTCAACAGTAGGAGGCGAAACGTTTACTTCGATACACAAACAACACGTTTTTCTCAAATTAATTAAGTGTATTTAGAAACAACACTAACCTGCTACAGGAGCACCAGTTAACTGTCCAACTGCTAAACCGAAAAGCACAATTCCATATGTAACACCAAATGTTTCTACGCCAGAAATTTCAATGATTATAGCTGGGAGAAGGGAGCCTCCACATGCTGCATAACTCATTCCAAATATCGCACTGTAAAAGTATACACCGTAACGGGAATGTATAGTCAAACATATTGTTGCTATTCCACCTAATGCATAGAAGAAAATATATTGATAAATGGGTCTAAATATTTTTACATGGCTCATATTTGCAAAAACACCATGTAGAAGTTTGAAAACAAGAACCATAACACCGGAAATTGTATATAAAATAGCAGCATTTGGCTTAGTAAATCCTTTCTGATAAACAGCATAAGCTTGCAGGTGACCTAGGATAATCGATGCGCCAAACTGATACATAAAATTATTGATCATAAGGATGTAAAATGATGGAATTTTCAGATAAAAATGTTTGTCGAGAAATCCAACTTGTTCGAAGTTTTCACTTTCTTCGTTTAATTGTACTGTCTCGAGATTCTTGCTTACACTGCTCTGTTGTAACTTGTTATATTCTGATTTGTCCGAAGAATATCCACTCTCTTGTGACTTTTGTTCTGAGCTGACCTCTTTTGTCAAAGGGCGGATTAATGATCCAAATACACATATATTGAGAGTTATTCCACCAAGAATCATAAACATACCACGCCATGTATAATATTCATTTAACATTTCAATAATCGGTGGGAATGCAAAACTACCTATTCCGCCACCTGCAGATGATATCGCCATTGCCAGTGGTCGATGGTTTTTGAAGTATTTAGCCACTGCTACACTTCCTGGCATAAACGCTAATCCGCATCCTATGCCTGTAAACATATTTTAATAGCCATAACAAATACATTAGATCCAGTGTACATGAAATTAATTAGTAAAGAGCCCCCAGTTACTGTTTAATTATATTTTTAAGTGCATCAGGCAAACACTACCTGTTTCAATAAGCACATTATTCATAGTTTACAAGGTATAGCATCATGAAACAACAAATAATGATAATTTATAAATCGCAAGAAAATATAACAACGTAGATAAACCAGACTTCGATGAATATTATCTATCTTTTGACACAGAAAAATGCTATAAATGCTTGTCCTTAAAATAAAAAACAAATGATATAAGTTTTATAAAATAGCATTTTGCAAAATATTTACGTTAATGCTAAAATCTGTTTTAATAGTGTTTCGGACCAAGCAATTTATATATACCTTACTGCGCTGCTAACCAGTAAATGTAATATGTACAAGAAAAAGCCAGAAAAAAATTGAATTAGTTTGCAAAATCTCATCAAGGATACCAGTTATTATTAAGTACGCCAGTGATTGCTTTAGTGATTTTTTTCTACACTTCTGGTGTCCAAAATATATTTTTACCTGAAATTATGCCGTAAGTCAGAATGAGAGCGGGAACGGAACTGACAAAAGCAGATGACGTCATGCCAATAGCTGCAATCAGACTTCCAGCAATGGCAACCTTTCGTTCGTCGTATCTTTCAATCAGATATCCAGATAATGGACCTGAAAGGAAACATACTAACATAGGATTCTGTTAGGCATACATATTTAAGAGAACATCTTCGTCTTGCCATTTTGTAGGAATGTAACCATCATTAATGATCCGATCAGATCTCTGGTATCTCTTTCTTCTGTCGCTTTCAACTATACAATCGACAGTCTTACAAAAGATTAAGTAATAATTACTATCGAATACTTTATAAAGTTAGGTTTCGCGTATTCAAAAGTGAACTGCAGGCGATGATTTGCTGAAAGTGGAAAACTAAAATTCATTATTTAACATATTGTAAAGCAGAAAATGATTGTTTTAAAATATTTGACGGCAAGAGAATGCCAAAAAAAACCCAAACTTAAACACTTTAGTTTTCATAGTGGTTGTACCTCTATTGTATAATGCTGATAAAGGTATCCTTGATGATTTGCTTAATTTTAAATTTAAAACAAAATGAACCTGTCACATTTCATGAAGTCTTATTCAATTCCTGATTTTTAATGTTAAACTAAGAAACAAAATACAAAAAATACCATACCAAAGATGAAATTAAAAAAAAACCTTCTTATAATAGTATTCAAAGTACAGACAACATTATGTCTAAAGGAAAAACAGTTAAAAATACACTACATAGCAAAATTAAAATGAGACAAAACAAACCCCACCAGAAAAAAAACTAGAAAATGGAGTGGACTGGCCTCAGCTGCAAGTGCATCAGAAGGGAAAGCTGGTCCTGCTTTACTAGTTGCACCCGTCGTTTTCCTCATAACAAGTAAAAAGAGATAATAGGGGCATTCGGTTATGATTTTCTGAACTGGAATTTGGATACAAAAAAGGAGAACATATAGAAATAAGAAGATGTGGTATGAGTGCCAATGAGACAACGCTCCATCCAAGTCACAATGTGTAAAAAGTTAACAATTACAGGTCAAAGTACGGCCTTCAACACGGAGCCTTGGCTCACACCGAACAGCAAGCTATAAAGGGCCCCAAAATGACTAGTGTAAAACTATTCATGGTAATTAGTTAAACTGATATTACGAAATAGTCAACAAATGGAAGGCATGCTGGTGTCCGTAGAACTAAATATTGAATAATCAGTTAACCTTTACCGATTAGAACGCTTTAAATAGCTTCCTTGTAAGCAGCAGTCCTCTAGCTCTGGAGGATATGCCAACTTGGCGATGAATACTCCATTAAAATGGGAAAATTTAGGTTACCTCCTTTGTCGGTAAGTTATTTTTTAGCTAACCCTCAGTGTCAATTTTTTAAATGTATCTGTGATATCATTTATTTTTTATGTTCAATTGGAACGCTGTGACGAAACACTTGGTATATAATTGCTACTTTCGTCTTTCGTTTAATTTTAATGAAAGAATATGGATTCCACATATAGTTGGATTTAACCCTAAATAGTTAAACAATAATATCAAACCGTGATTAATAATTATGTATAGACGATACGAAATTAATCTTTTTATAGCTTAACATGATACTTCACACTGCAAATTATTTAAAGAGATGGAAAATTGAGAATTATTAATAGGAACAAATACCGTGAAAACTATATCTGTGATGGATATTAAATTACGTCCTAAACAGTTTTAATTATCGTATGGGTATTTGTAGGAATAGACTATTTTGATACGTCTTCGACTAATAATTCCTTTCTAAAATATTCCGACAAACCGTATATTCATTAATAATCAAAAAAGTTTTTAATTCATTATTTGACAACAAAAAAATGAATTATCTACCTTTTTTCTGTGAAATGATTGAAAAAGAAGCCTATATTTAACTCACCTTGTCGAATCTTATACCATCATATTTATCGTGTACAACTGAAACAAAATATTGACAGGCAAAGATGAGTTCTGGTTCATCAAATATAGTCAAGCCAAATATTAAATGCAAAATGTCGAAATTTTATATTTCGAAAAAAAAAGGAAGAAGATACTAGCACTTTATAAATTTGATTCGTCCGAAGAGGTTTTTGGATTTACCTTCATCAGGAACACTCAAAGCCAAAAAATTGAAAACCGAGGATGTATTAGACTAGTACCGAAAACGTGAAGACCTTTATGACAAAAAGGGACCTAAAATAGGCAAATCCATCTAAGGTCAAATTTGCCTGAGGGATTTGGATACTTCGTTATTAATTATTTCTTTTAAAAACGAACAATTTATGAAAGGTATGTTATAAATCATGTCAGTACCGAGGCACTAACTACTGAGCTGATGATACGTAACCTGATATGCCAGTCTACGTTTGTAAGTGCCAGTCTGCCAGCGAATCATCGTGTAGTTAAAATTTATTAAAAGATTTACAATTAAAAAGCAATTGAGATTGACACTTAATTCATTTCAGAATCAGTATTAATGTACAGAAATAACCAAGTTTTCAATTTGCATCATAACTCAGTAAATATGAAAAAATATTATTTTCATTGTATAAATAGACTATCTGAAATTACTTATGCATCAGTATACTTGGTTTTAATTTATGTTTGTTTTGTTCCAAAATTGTTTAAGATTTCCAGAATCCTAGATAAACTGTCAATGAAAATCCCTCAAAACAAATCGATTGGTGGGAACGAAACGACAAGGAAATTTCTAATACCATCCTTATATGCTCTTTTCTGGTAGTGGTTAATTAAGGTCTTTCCCCTACGTGAGCATACTATGATTTTACGCCTTGCTTTCAAATATACAGGCCTTCGTAAAAAATCTTACGACAAACATAACTTGCAAATCAAGAACAATTCAGTATACTTTCGATCAATTTGAGTCGCAAGAATTCTATGTGAAACGCAGGCCAGGAAATATTGGACAATGTCTTATGATGCAATAATCACAGTTGCGGAAAAAGTTTCCGACTTGAAAAAATTATGCATCATACAGTTTAGTACATTACCTATGGCAATATAAATAACTATATGCGTAATATTTTAAGGCCGTACACAACTATGCGTTATTGCAACATGTACATGTACGGTATGAACTGTGCAAAATGAATGACAATGTTTTCACAAATACTTACAGGTGAAAAATAAAACGGCAGTGATGAGTGAAGATAGCCATGATGTTATCCCGCTCCCTTCGTTAAAAACTTCCAGGATGACAACATAAACCACACCAGCTGAGTATGATATCCCATATATCACTATTCTGTTTAAGGCAGCGGCTGCTACTATCATCCATCCCCAACAACCATCCACTTCCCCTTTCTTCATATCTTAAATACAAAAGATTGTTTTCCATGTTGTCAATAGATTAGCACGCATTATTAACGTCTCCTCGGAGACGTTATTAAGAATTGAACGATGGACAGTCAGTGCGTGAATGCCTCTTACTACCTGATTGGAAGATATTACGAGACGTGAATAATCAAAGTTTGTTGATTGGTTAGGACAATCCAAACCTAGTAAATGTCTTTCAATCCCGTAGAGTATCGGATTTGTCCTCTCTATTTTAGCAATAAGATTTTGCCTGGTCATTAATCATGCATATTCATGAGATTGGTACACAGGTAACTTTTATCTATAAATAGCCGAATCTTCTGGAGTTTTGTAAACACACACAACGTTAAACGATATACTACTTCATAACGTGTGACCTCACGTGAGTGGTAAAATTTGTTGATTGATATGCAAGACTATTCTGAATGAATTAATCTACAAAGCGAGAACACTTTCCATTTTCATCAGCTAAGAGACGGCTAGCGTTTTTTTGAAAAGCTATTACTTGTATTTATTATAATCAGGATGCTCCATGTAGTACCTTGTACACACAAGGGAAGTAATTATTTGACATTTACATTTTATGTATCCAGTCATTTAATTTAGAAGTGCGAATCGATAACACAAATAATATATGTTCAAAAACTTTCAAGCTTTCAGTGGCAGTGTATATAAAGGGCGAATCCAGTTAGTTCATTTTCACTGTTGTATGCGAGTATGTCTATTGTAGAATAAAGGATGATGGGAAAAACTGCGTTTGTTTACTTTTTATACGACCGCAAAAAAATTTTTGTGGTCGTATATTGGTATGACGTTGGCGTCGTCGTCGTCGTCATCGTCGTCGTCGTCGTCGTCGTCGTCGTCGTCCGGCGTCGTCGTCCGAAGACACATTAGTTTTCGCACTCTAACTTTAGTTTAAGTGAATGGATCTCAATGAAATTTTACCATAAGGTTCAATACCACAAAAGGAA